TTCAACTCTGAGGTGAAGACGTTTCACTTCTCATCTGAGGAGCTTCTTCAACTCTGAGGTGAAGACGTTTCACTTCTCATCTGAGGAGCTTCTTCAACTCTGAGGTGAAGACGTTTCACTTCTCATCTGAGGAGTTTCTTCAACTCTGAGGTGAAGACGTTTCACTTCTCATCTGAGGAGCTTCTCCAACTCTGAGCTGAAGACGTTTCGCTTCTCATCTGAGGAGCTTCTTCAACTCTGAGGTGAAGACGTTTCACTTCTCATCTGAGGAGCTTCTTCAACTCTGAGCTGAAGACGTTTCACTTCTCATCCAAGGAGCTTCTTCAACTCTGAGCTGAAGACGTTTCGCTTCTCATCTGAGGAGCTTCTCCAGCTCTGGACTGAAGACGTTACGCTTCTCATCCGAGGAGCTTCTTCAACTCTGAGCTGCAGATATTTCACTTCTCATCCGAGGAGCTTCTTCAACTCTGAGCTGGAGATGTTTCACTTCTCATCTAAGAAGCTTCTTTGGCTCTGGGCTGAAGACGTTTTGCTTCTTATCCAAGGAGCTTTTTCGGCTTTTGAGCTGAAGGAGCTTCTTCAATGAGAAGCAAAACATCTTCAAAAGAAAAATCAGAAAGTCCAGTTGCCTCTTTAAAAAAAAAGCACCTTTGGGACGACCAGGACCTGGGATGACGGAGAATCTCCATTAGACGTCTCTTATTCAACGGTTTTCAACTTTATCCACTTGGAATTCTATGGACTTCAACTCCCAGAATCCTCCAGCCAGCTACGCTTCCCCTTTAAGACTTGTGGAGGGCTGGGGAATTCTGGGAGCTGAAGTCCACACCCTTCAAAGCGGCCAAAATGGAGAAATAACTTTTCTTATTCAAGGGGGCGAAAAAACTGACCTTTGTGAGTTTTTTTTTTAAAAAAACCAAACCACCCAAAATGAAAATTTCACCCCTTTGAGCTGAAATGCTTTTGGCGAGTTTTGTCAAACCCTCCTGAAATTTTTGCTCTAAGTGAGACAGGAATGCAGTCCGTCCTTGATTTATGACCATTGTGGAGCCCAGGATTTTGGTTGCTAAGTGAGTCACACCTGATTTTATGACTCCTGCCCCGATTGTTAATTGAGTTACTGCCGTTGTTAAATGAGTTGCGAATCCAGCGTCTTCCATTGAATTGGCTTCTGAGAAGCTAGCAACGTCCTGTGATCCCTGGATGCTACAACCATTATTGTTACACACCAGTGGCCCGGCGTCTGGATTTTTACCATGTGACAGTTGGGAATAGAGTGACGGTCGTAAGTGTGAGGAGTGGTCATAAGTCACTTTTTCCAGGGTTATTATAAGTTCACAGCAGCAGCTAAATCAACCATTGTACTTACCTGTCCTGGAATGGACTCTGAGGTTTCCAGAAATGTGCATTTATTTATGAAATAAACTTACAGGCCCAACTGAGCCTAAAAGGTTCATTGTTAAGGGAGGTATGCCTGATTTTACAAGCCTTTTTTTTTTGCCAGTGTTATTAAGCAAATCCATGCAGTTATTAAGTCAATCAGGAGGTCATTGAGTAAAGTTTAAAACACCATATTTGCAGGGGTATCCAACCTTGGGCACTTTAAGACTTGTGGACTTCAACTCCCAGAATTCTCCTCAGCCAGCATAGTTTACTCTCTTGTAATCCCTTCCTCTGCAATCTCTCTCTACTTCAGGAGGTTAAGAGAAAAAAAAAGAAACAGACACAGCTGACTGGGGAATTCTGGGAGTTGAAGTCCACAAGTCTTAAGGTGGCCAAGTTTGGGGACCCC